CCGAGTATAACTCGGGGTAAGGTTTCAGTACCACAAGTGGTAACCCCAAGCTACACTCGGGAATACCATGCGACGCTGCTCGGGATCCCTTACCTTGTCCTGCGCTCCCGCGATGTCCCTCCTGCAGTGTCCCCGGCAATGTAATCCGGTGGATGCCGGCATCTATCATCTGGGTTCCATCCCCTGCGAGCGTCGGGACGTACGGGGGACGAAACGGCGGGAAATTTGAAAATGACAAAAAGTGACATTCACTAAAATCACAAGTAAAAACATTACTGTATCAAACCATTTCACATACATTTTGTCCCTAGTGCTTTGTCCTGTGCCCTGCCTGCATTTTTACTGTTCTTTCTGCCTGGAAACTGAGAAATGTCCATGGTGTCCAAAAAGGATCCCTTTAGGTCAAAAGCGGTTTTAGACCAGCTAGAGAACAGCGATAGTAAATCAGAACCACTTGCAGAATTGAGTGATAATGATGCGTGGGGAAATTTGTCATCAGACACTGAAAACGATTTTGCGACTTTGCTCAGTGATGTGCGAACTTGGCGCTATATTTCAAATTTCAGTGTTTTTGGTTTGATTATATTATTGAATTAAATTTATTATTATATTATTATTTTTTTTATGATTATTTATTAAATTATAAGTTATGATTTCGTGTTTCAAGTTTTATCCTACCCGGGATGATTACTAGACTCTTGTTCGGACAGATTTCAGTGAGTTATTTCTAAAAATTACAGGCCTACAACAACAGAAAAAAAAAAAAAACATATTTCCATGCAAAAAAATTTACCGATTTGAGCACAGAAATATGGACATAATCATACCGCTATGGAGGTTAAAAAGTATAAAGACAAAATGATGGGGTTCGTGAGGAGCCTATTTTATGGACAACACTCAAGGCTCCAGTTATAAAGCAGTGGTTTAGCCTTACTGTGGCCATGCTGCTGCTTTACAATTGTGAATTGAGCTACTCTCACTTTGGGACTCTGAAACAAGTTTAGCACCATTTACAACAGTCAGTGAGGAATTAAAAAAAAAAGCCGGGAGGACAGCCAAGTCATGTGGACCGGCCTGTTTCTACAGCTTTAAGCAAAGAATACTTTATGGTATACCACAGGGTAAACACCGCAACCTGCGTTATATGAATGGGCGTAAACTGCATGTCATAGTGTGGAGTAAAAGTGTGGTGTACACTGAATATCGGTATCTGTTCTACATTTTAAATTGTCCCCTCACTATTTTGTAGCGATCTTCTAAAACACCTTTCAAATAACTGCTCCACTGAAATGTAGACACAGCAATTCTGTCCCCCCTCAAGAAAGTAGAAGTTCACAGGGTCAGGCACATAGATTACCACTACTGCATTGTTTCAGTCTCCTGATGGAGAAACACTCCACTACTGTTAATGCAGTCTAGGTAGTCCAGCTAAATTCAGGAATTGCTGAGACAGCAGACACCAAAACTATGGCATGAATGCATACCTCATTCTCCAGTAAAGCTCGGATGCAAGCTAGTCTGCAGTTTTCTTCATATTTGAAAACAAACTTTCAACAGTTGCAAAACTGTAGAAAAACACGTAGATAAAATCTCCTGCAAGCAAAGTAATGGATCAATAAACTTTAACATAATCTGGCTTGTATAAAAGAGACAGAAAATACATATAGACAAACACGTAAATTATTTCTGAACTGAGCGCAAATAAAATACAAGCAAATGAAATCGTATGTTACACAAAGCTACATGAATAACATATTTGCCTTGTTTTTTTAGGTTTATTGGTGCTCTCACAAATCCAAATATAGTTAAAATGTTACAACTGCATTTGAACAAGTAACAACCAGTGAAGACTTGTTCTACGTTGTACATATTGTGACCTGCAGATCTAGATACAGAGTGCTTGAGTTGTAGATCACTTCAGCTGTGGGCTTGTAACACTGTGTACCTTGTAGAACTTCTCACTGAACAGCAGTCAGAGTGACGTTAATAGTTACTTTCTGCCATTGAAACTCAGAACAAACTTTTCATCAAAACAAAGAACTGCTAAACTGGTTGGTGTATTATGAATAATGCAGCCTTAGAAAATATTGAACTGTTTACATGCAGTATAAACTGCTGACATTGGTTGACCTTAGTGAGTTTCTTTTTTTCATTTCTTTTTTTGCCAATGATTCCTAGTCAACAGTAAATCACATCTCAAAGTCTGCCTTGTTCTCCTCCCTATGCTGTGCAGTCATGTGATGTTTTCAAACTTGGGATGGTAATCTTCTAGGAACTGCTTCATGAGACAACCAAGCCCATTTTGTTGTCGACCCCTCAGTTCTAAGAATCTTTTTCTGGCACTCAACTTGTCCTGTAGTACAAACCAAGCCATCAATTATGCTACAGATCTGACAAGCTGTTTTCTCATCTTTCTTGGTTTCAAACTACGCAGTGTACATTCACATGATAAAGACACCAGCAGCAAAAGCTCTACAACTGATTCACAGTTCTGTCTAGCTGCAAAATCATTTTGAGAAGATCCCACTTTTCTCTATGTTTTTAAAGAATGATTTACATCTGCTGCTACAGGAGCACTAAGATAAATCCTCTTGCAGGAGTAAGAGTCCATGACAGTGGTGGAGAAGCACAAGAGACCTTGACTCATGAAAGCTACAATAAGCCCATTATTTTTCTGCCTACCTACCTTTTCACAAAACAGTACATTGAGGTGTAGGTGCACCCTGGTAGGTTGAGTAATCATAGGCTTATTATAACTTGCATTGGTCAAGGTCTCCTGTCCCTCTCCACCACTGCCATGGACCCCTACTCTTCTTGCAAGAAGAATTGTCTCAGTGCTCCTGTAACAGTAGATGTGCACTTACCCCATGGAAACAGTTGTCTTTTTCAAAATGTCTGAACAGGCAAATAATGGATCTTCTATTGAAACAGTGACTACAGATAAAAGTGATTTATATGAGTAAAAAACACAATGTTAATTTGCAATCATTTATTCAACAAAAATATGATATGTCTAGTCAACACCGACTTAAGTACAGCAATTTCTGTAATTACGTGCAATACTAAACATGGTGTGGCGACATACCACTGTATACGGTACAAGGTAGATGAACATCCACTTCAATACAGTCCCTTAGTAGAGTCCAAGGAGTCATATATGTAAGATGTAATTGACTCGTTCACAGGCCCTAGGGCGACATTCTGCCAATACTGGCAATCGTCTTCCACCCAATAATGTGTGTGAAAGGTCTGTGCTGTTATACTTGGAAAGTTCTTGGTTATCTCAAAATGCCTCTATGTGGGTATAAGGAACGATCTTACAGCAATACAGTCATCTTCGTTGCAGTGGTATGTATGGTGACTTGCCGCCAAATGTCCAAAAAACATATCCTGGATCGTGATATCTCAGCCGTCTCTTCATCCACAGCACACCGTCGCCCTCGTGATCGGGCCAGTGGGGTGTATGAATGAGACGTCACTGACGCCTCATGATGTCAATGCGTTTTGCTTACGTACAAGCGTAGCTTCGTCAGGATAACGTGTAGGTGGCTCCATTACTCCTTTTAAATAATAGTTTGTCCCGCCTCTCTCTACATTATATTATTCTCTTAAAGGTGACATTAGGTTTTTAATACCTGACCAGGCAAATAATATGTTAGTCAAATCTAGAGTAAAAAATCAAGTGAATATAATTTCTAGATTCTTCAAATACTGAAGATATACATATAACATACATCATCCTCTGATATCAATTTGCTGTTAATGTTGGAGACATATTCAAATAGCAGATTTCATTCTCAAAAGAGAATAGAGAAAATATTGCATACAACCTAACCTTCCAAAAATATCTGAAGATTCAGTTCGGTTTTAAGGCCAAGTGGAGCCAGTGATCGCAGTTTGTAAATCCACCATTTTTCCTTTTTAAGCAACACCATATTAAATGGGTACATTCCTCTTGTTCTAGGGCGGTGAGAAAGTCAACCACTTGGCAATGTCTTAATAAACTCAGAGTGGGTCAGAATATCTCCAAGGTTTTGCTCTTCTGGCCACCATTTGGGGAGACTGTCCCACAATGGTGTCCAGGCCAGGGCTATTGTACAGTATTCCTCAATGTATCTGGAGTACTTCTCTTACTTTATCCCACTGGGATCCAAAAGGAGGTAATTAATCTTACTGGGCCACAAGGATATTTCCATTCCTCCCTAGTTGTCTTGGTAAGTAGGCTATTTCTATCAAAATTAGCTTTTTTTCTTGTAGCTCTACGTAATTGTCTATGTCAGTGATGGCGAACCTTTTTGAGCCTGAGTGCCCAAACTGCAACACAAAACCAACTTTTTTATTTCAAAGTGCCAACACTGGAATTAATCACTTGCCTACAGGGCACTTCTACCCCCTTCCTTCCCAGGACAATTTTCAGCTTTCAGTGCTGTTGCACTTAACAATGACAATTGTGCGGTCATGCAACACTGTAACCATATGCAATTTTTATCATTTTTTCACACAAATAGAGCTTTTTTTGGTGGTATTTAATCACCACTGGGTATTTTATTTTTTGCACTATAAATGAAAAAAGAGCAAAAAATTTAAAACATAAAAGGGTTCCTTTGCTTCTATTCTAAAATTTTACAAACAGGTAATATTTCTTCTTTGATGTGCGTTGGTGAGGCTGCACTGATAGGCAGCACTGATGGGCATTGATGAGGCGGCACAGATAGGTAGCACTGATGAGGCGGCACTGGTGAGCATTGATGAGGAGGCACTGATGATGCACTGATATGCAGGAAATGATGGGCACTGATAAGCGGCACTGACTGATAGCACCAACTGGAGGCACTGACAGACGGCACTGACCGGCGGCACTGCTGGGCATCATTGATGGGTGGCACTGATGGGCAGCACTAATGAGGTGTCACAGATAGGTGGCACTGATATGCGGCACTGATAGGTGACACTGATAATGGGTACTGATAGACAGCACTGATAGGGGGCACTGACTGACATCACTGCTGGGCACTGACTGGCGGCACTGCTGGGCACTGACTGGCACAACTGCTGGGCACTGACTGGCAGCACTGCTGGGCTGCACTGATGGGCACTGGTGGGTGGCACAGGTGGGTGGCACTGGTGGGCACAGGTGGGTTGGCACAGGTGGGTGGCACTACTGGGCACAGGTAGGTGGCACTTCTGTGCACAGGTGGGCGGCACAGGTGGGCGCACTGCTGGGCACAGGTGGGTGCACTGCTGGGCACAGGTGGGTGCATTGCTGGGCACAGGTGGGCGGAACTTGTGTGTGGCACTGCTGGGCACCGATCATCAGGGCACTGATGATCAGTGACCCTGATGATCAGTGCCATTCCCTGCTCTGACAACTGCTGGTTTTCGGCAGTACTTTCCTCACGATCTGACAGTGTGAGGAAAGTGCAGCCGAGAACCGGCATTTGCATTTCCCGGTGATCAGCGTGTCATTGGACACGGCTGATCGCGTGGTAACAGGCTGCTGTGATTGGCCTTTTACCACGTCACGTGATCAGCTGTGTCCGTAGGACACAGCGATCACGGAAATCGCCCGGTGCACGCCCCCAGGGGTGCGCAGGAGAGCGCGATCTTCCTCTTCTTCCTGGCATGCCCACTGAGATGGCACGCGTGCTATAGGTTCGTCATCACTGGTCTATGTGAATAGCTTCGTTCTCGGAAGCGGGCATAAAGATCACTAGCCTCATTTTTATAGTCGGCCTGTCTAGTACAGTTCCGTTTAATGCGAAGAAATTGTCCCACCAAGTTGGATGGTGGCTATTTGCTTGTAAGTGTGTTTGCTGCTGTATCTTTTAGGTAGGTATGTGTAATCAATTGACCTTCTTCTATAGATACAGAGAGGTCAAGAAAGGAAATCTGTTTGCTATCATATACCGGGATGTTGAATTCCTCTCGCTCGATGCCCAGGAGTTTCGGGCACCGAGCTGGTAGTTCTTTTCTACCTTTAGCCCTGCTGCGGGCAAGCAGCAGGGCTCATCTGTCAGGAGGAAGCAATCGGCGGCAGCGCTGCCACCGATTGCTTCCACACAGTGCCAGCCTCTCTCCGCCCCCTTGTGTGAACCTCCCCCCACCCACTATCTCCCGAGCTCCGCTTGCCCATCTGCAGGCCCAGTTTACCAAAGCTAGATTAGAGGGAGGAGAGCGGACACATCCCCTCCCCTTTTTGTTCTGAACCGGAAGTGATGTTATGATGTCATATCCGGGTCCCCGTTGAGAGATTCACTAAATGTAATGCGGTGCGATGTGCACTGCTTTACATTCAGTGTAGTACAGGGGAGACATGCAGGGTCTTTTAGACCTTGGATGTCTCAATAAAGAGAACCTGTCACCTAATATCATCACATAGGGGGCTCTTTTTTTTTTTTTTTAATTGTAAAAAAATGAAAGTTATACCTAAGCACATAATACCCCCCCCCCCCCCATAAAATGAAGCCCCCCCACATATACGCACATACAAACATAAAAGCACATGCTGGATCGCCTACGCATGTAAACATCAATTGCGATACACATGTCACACACTGCCACGCACGCCAGGATGAGAGCAATAATTCTAGCACCAGACGTCCTTCATAACACTAAACTCATGACCTATAAGGGGCTTTAAAAGCATCACCTATAGAAAATTTAGGGTACTGAAATTCGTCGCCATTTCACAATCGCACGCAAATTTAAGGATTGGCATGTTGGATATCTATTTACTCACTGCAACCTCATCTTTTATATTTTTTTCAAAATAGGCTAATAATTGCTTTTTTGTGCCCTAAAATTAACTTTTTTTACAGAAATGTTGCAGTAATATCATGTGACATAAAAAATTGGAACTACCACTTTTATTCTCTAGGGTCTATGATTTCAGAAAATATATAATGTTTGGGGGTTTTATGTAATCTTCAGGCCTAAAATGATTTTTTTAATCTTGTACAAAAAACGCAAAAATGGCTCTGGCAACGAAAGGGATAAAGGATAAGCTTGACACTCCCCTTTCCTGAGGAGCAGCTAATCGATGCTCATTACACTGCAAGGTCTCTCTCCTTCCTGCTAGTCCCCGGATGTGGTGCTGGAGACAGGTGGGGGGAGGAGGAGATAAACAGCGCAATGTTAAAAATGTTACACATTTAAGTCGCCATAAAACCCTTTTTGTTTTTAAAACAGTCCTAAATACGGTTTTGGTTACAATTAATTTTTTTTCATCTGGACAAGTAGATTGTCATGAGGGACAAGTAGATTGGTGCACCGATTTAGTCCCTGGACAAGTAGTTTTTTAAAAAATTCCACACCCCTGCATATACATAGGTTAAACGGATGTTTTTATTATTCTGATTCAAATAGTCCATGAATTGACCAAATGTTTCAATATCTTCTTTCCATAATACAAACATGTCATCGATGTACCTCAGCCACGTGAAGACATGGCTTTGGTACATCGATGAGGTGTAAACATCCTGTTCTTCCCACATGTCCAAGTGAAGGCATGCGTAAGCTGGAGCCCAAGGTGCACCCATGGAAGTACCTCTAACCTGTTGATAGTATTTTCCAGAAAATGGAAAGAAATTATACAACGCAAACTCCAAAAGATCCAAAATAAATTCATTCTGGTGGCCCATTTCTGGAAAATAATGATTGTGGAAGTACTCCACTGCTTTTAGTCCACAATGATGGGGAATCGAAGTGTAGAGTGATTCAACTGCAATTCCTATCAACCATAAATTGGCAAACCATATCTTTTAATAGAAGGTCAAGATATTTCCCAACCCTCTCCAGTGGTCCCTTAATCGCAGAAACTATAGGGCTTCCTGGGGGAAAGTACTGCTGAGAACCAGCAGTTGTCAGTGGAGGGATCGGCACCGATCATTAGGGCACTGATGATCAGTGCGCTGATGAGCATGCCCAGCAGTGCCACCACCAGTGCCGTCCACAAGTGCCCAGCAGTGCTGTGCACAAGTGCCCAGCAGTGCCACCCACCTGTGCCCAGCAGTGCCACCCTCCTGTGCCACCCACCAGTGCCCATCAGTAGAGCCCAGCAGTGCCATCCATCAGTGCTGCCCAGCAGTGCCACCCATCAGTGCTGCCCAGCAGTGCTACCAGTCAGTGCCCAGCAGTGTCGCTACTCAGTGCCACCCATCAGTGCCCACAGTCAGTGCCCAGCAGTGCCGCCAGTCAGTGCCCAGCAGTGCCAGCTCATCAGTGCCACCTATCAATGCCGCCCATCAGTGCCACCTCATCAGTGCCCATCAGTGCCGCCTACCAGTGCTGCCTATCAGTGCCCATCAGTGCAGCCCCATCTACTACCTCCTGCTGCCAAATTGGAAATATTCTTCTCTCGTTTTGCTGATACGATTGTAGGGCTCTTTACTCACCGTCCAGTGTGGCAAACTATATTACAGCTGATTTTGGGACTTGGAATTGCTTTGGCTAGTCCACCATTAGCTGAAAACGCTTACTGTTTTTTCTGTTCCGTGGTTAAGTATCCTGAGATCTCTACTCTTATGTTTCATTTTCATCCATGCACTTACCAGTTTATTTAGATGGGCCCGGGGGTGTATACTGTATGTGTATGCATGATATACTTGTGGAGCTCTAATTTTTACCCATTCATAATTCAATATACCCTATTTGGGGTGTTCTTCTGCAAGATCTATACACATATGTACCACATTTGACGTCCGGACGTTCTTAATTGACATTGTTTTTAAATTAATGTTGTGTATGTTCACATGTGGTTGTGGTTGCCGAGCACTGTGTGTTACTTTATGTCGCTACTACAAATGATTTTGCTTGAACTGAATAAATATAGTTTTTATTCATCATGACCTGATACAAGACTCGTTTGCTGTCCTATTAACCACTTGTCTTATGGAATGGGCTTTACCCATCCTTGCGATATTTTTTGGTTTCTGCTGTGGTCTACAGTTTAGACGGCAACATTTTTAAAGTGAGGAGGCAATCAGTGAATTTTTTCCATAATTCCCTTTTTTCTGTTAAAATACATTCCTTGCAAGCACACTTCTTGCACAATTTATAGTTGACTCAATGACTGCAAATTGCCCAGGCCCTGATGAAGAAAAGGAACCCCCAAACCATAAAATTTCCACCATCGTGAGGCATAGTTGGTATGGTATTTTCTTCTCCTGAAATGTCTGTCTTCAGTTTGTGCCAAATATCCTATGTACCCTTGCTGCAGCTAAACAACTCTATATCTGATTCATCAGTCCACAGCATAATTACTGTATGTTCACTGGCAAACTGTGATAATGTGAAAATCTGTTAATTTAAACTAAAAGAATAAATATGCCATGTCAAGTTTATTAGTCACTTGTTATGTGTCACAAGTTTATACATTTTATCTGTAGGCATTGTATGTTGAACTGTTAAAATAATGTAAAAAAAAAAAAAATTTTTTTCATGAGGTGTGATAACTTTTCAAATTACTATATATATTGGTCACAGTAAAAAATATTCCATGCTTGTGTGTGTACTAGAACAAGAGAAAAAAAAATTATTAAAGTGGTTCTAAGGGCTCAAGGTTTTTTACCTTCATGCATTCTATGCATGAAGGTAAAAAAACCTTCTGTGTGTAGCAACCCCCCCAGCCTCCCTAACAGTTACTCAAGCCCCATCCCAATTCAGTGATGTCCATGACAGCCTCGGTTCTCCAGGGACACTCACCCCTGACTGGATGGAGCAGCAGCGGGGAGCCAATGGAAATCACAGCCAGTGAGCCAATCAGGAGAGGGAGGGAGTGGGGCCAAGCCACAGCTCTGTGTGTGAATGGACACGCAGAGATGTGGCTTGGGAGCATGCCTACTTTGGTGCCCCCATAGCAAGCTGCTTGCTGTGGGGGCACCTGACAGGAGGGAGGGGTCAGGACTGCTGGCGGGAGACCAGGTAAGAGGAGTATCAGGGCTGCTGTGAGCAAAACCACTGCACAGAGCAGGTAAGTGTGACATTTTTGTTATGTTTAAAAAAACAAGACTTTAGTATCACTCTAACCTTCTCCTCGGATGGCAGTGTACAAGATATTCATGGTGCCACTGTCTTTGCACAACCTCACCCTACTAACAAAAGCTTGCTGCATGTAACCCCTTGAATTAGGCTTCCCACAAATAAAAGAGGGTGGCTGGCCATGCATGTATGACCCAGCAACTGAACAATCTATCTACTGAATGATCCATCTACAAACATGGAAGGTACCA